CAGAGAGGCTTGTATGTCATTCACTTTCCATTCTGCTTAAAAAAAAATAGTGTCAATAAATTTAAGAATTTTCTGTTTTATAATTTTCAAATATGTTTGTTCTCAAAGAAAACTGAAGGCTTCAAACGCCATTTGATAAAAAATGCAAGTATTTGCTTGAAGTAACTCTCATAATTTGAAAATATATTCTCAGGACTTAAGGATCAAGAACAGCAGGCATTTGATTATGAATCTTTTCTCTCCCTCTATTTTCTTCAACTCCCCAAAATATAAAAATCAACAAGGAAAACAAAGCTACACAGGACCTAGATCTTCAGCATACAAGGAAACAAAAAACACTGCAACTTTCAAATTACCTCTAAGTAGAGATAAAAAGAAAAAATTTCAACAGATTACCTGTAGTCTTCCAGCTGCTATAAGCTTATAAGGATGAAAAGTAAATAAAAGGAGTCTTATTAAAAGACTACACACAAAAAGTAGAGAGTAACAGAGGAACCGGAGGAAGTACAGCCAAAATTACTCCCAGAAAACAAAAGTGCAACAATAATGCCAAAATATTATACAGGACTTGGTAGTCCACAGCCCTGGCTACGGGAAGAAGTTTGAAAATGGGAGGAACCAGAAATGGCTGCCTTGGAGAAGCAAGATGTGCAGACGTGTGCACATGCAAAAGCATGCGGACTCCTTGCAGACAAGCCAGTAAAGAGAAAGAATAAAGTAATAAAGAGAAACTAAAGACCCTATAGAAATGAAAGAGAAACAAGATATGCCAACTCTTCCTTCATTAAAAACGCCACCATTTATAAACAAACAGTATAGCAGAGGGTAGAAGTGTCAGGAAAGAACACTCTCAAAATAGGAGCCCTTTCCAAGTAACCAATAGGACTAGAAAAAGGCAGACCAGATCTGTAAACAAAACAACTACAAAAGTCAGAAAATGCCAATAAAAACATTACTATTGGTGAAAAGTCTCGACCCTAAAACCAACCATGATCCTGAAGAAAGCTGTAACACAACACGAATTAAATATAGTCAATCAAGCAATCAGGGGTATGAAAAAAATACCTTGAATCAGAAATACAAACAAACAAAAACCAACAACAAGAAATGAAACAAGAGCTGACTAAACTGAGGAAAGAAACAGAACCAAAAAAAGGTACATAAAAAGTAAAGGCTATGTTATAAACTACCCAAAGGAGAATACAAAATAGATTCAAATTAAAACTTAATAAAGGGCATTGAAAAAAAAAATAATAATCAAGGGAATGAAAATTAAGAAGTCAGAGAAAAAGGGTCAGAGAAAAAGTGACTGAAATGGAAAACTAGCAAAGAAAGTCAAACATATGTATAATGAATATCCCTGAGGATGAAAACGGAAACAATGAAAAGAAAAAAACAACACAATCCTAATATTTAACACTACAATCCAAAAAAACTTTACAGAAATAAAAGGAGACCTGAATCTACAAATAGAAAGGGTCCAGTGGGTATTAAAGCAAAATAACCTAGGCCTATCAACTCTAAGTTGCAAAAGTATTAGACTTCAGCAATCAAGAAAAAAAATCCTCAAGGCCTCCAGGCAAAAAGAGAAAATTAGTCTACTAAGAAAATTAAACAGGTATCATATTTCTTTAAAATAGTGTATAAAATCGAAGTAACAGTGGAAACAGCATTTTCAAGAAACTTAAAGAAATTAATGACCAAAAGGTATATCCACTCAAGCTGTCCTTCAAGTATCATAGCCACAGAAAACCAGGGAATATATATTCCTGATGTGCCTTTCCTGAGGAACATACCAAAGGATGATCCTCATTTAAGCAAAGAATAACTAGTGAAACTTTAAAAAAGAACTGACATTGAGTATTTAATCTCTTTAATTGTAGACAAAGACTAAAAAAATTGTGAGTCATGGGTTAAAAAGCAAAAATGTACTTTTTTAAATAGAAGGACAAATCCATATATAGTAAATACCATATATAGAAACCGAATGGAAAGCATTTCAAATGCTTGAATATTTATTATATTTTTCATTATACTGCTCATGTTATAGCATATAAAATAGGAGAAAGCTACTTGTCGAAAAAATCATTATGAAATATTCATAAAACAAAACAAGACAAACACATTAAACTTAATATGGTTAATCACATATAGAACTTAGTGGGGTGGAGAAAATAGGTTTTTGGAGAGTAATACTTTCAAGGTTGTCATCAAATGATTTAACTGAAGTAAAAGAAAATTTTTTAAAGCTCAAGAAAAAGTTTATGATTCACATTTAAGGCAGGAGGTTATTATACAGGTAGGTCAAAATAGCAGATAAAATACATTTTATTTAAGAATATGATTTCATACAAATTTACTATTTCAATCATGCTGTCTCCTGGCCTATATTAAAATAACTCTATATTCACAAACTGAAATGGGGATTAGGGATCAGAAGATCACTGATATCAAAATAATAGGCAGCCACAATAGTATTTACTACACTAAATTGTTCAGCATAATCTCACTTAATCCTTATAACACATTTATGAAGATGAACAATTTTATTGCTACCACTTTATGGCTGAGGACATTGGGCACCGAAAATTATCTAACTTATACAAAGACATGGAAATATTAGTAGTAGAATCAGGATGGAAATCCAGATCTGATAGACTTCATGGTTCATGCTCTTATATCAGTATGCTATGTTGCATGTACTTTGTAATAAAATCTCATTTAACTACAGTAATTTAGTCTCATAAATTTTAAATAAACCATATCTCTTCTTCTATTTCTATTTCTTTCTTTCTTTTTTTTTTTGAGACAAAGTCTCACTCCATCACCCAGGCTGGAGTGCAGTGGCACAATCTCGGCTCACCGCAATCTGTAATCTCTGCCTCCCTGCTTCAAGCGATTCTCGTGCTTTCGCCTCCCGAGTAGCTGGAATCACAGGCATGCACCACCACACCTGGCTAATTTTTGTATTTTTAGTAGAGACAGGATTTCAACATGTTGGTCGGGCTGGTCTTGAATTCCTGGCCTCAAGTGATCCACCCGCCTCAGCCTCACAAAGTGCTGGGATTACAGGTGTGAGCCACCACGCCCAGCCCAATCTTACAGTTCTTTGCTTACTTTATTATAATAAGTTTGTCCCTTCCTTAAATTCATACAGTTAGTGACTACCTACAGAGGTAGCCCAGTCTTTTAGATAAAAGTTCAAACCATTTTAAAAGGCATGAAAAGACCAAATTATCTCTCCAGCTACCCTGTAGTCCTTACCATTCTGCCCCTAGACCTACAGACTGTTCTACTCCACAATTAAACCTTAAATTCCAGTCATACTGAAAAACCGGCAGCCTCGTAATGAGGCAGACACGGCCCTTTCTTATTTCTAAGCCCACCAATATGATGGTCATTCTGAAGGGCAACTCCCCTCTTCTGTCTTCCCTCAACTTGACCTGGAATTATTTTCTTCTTATCAACCTCAAAGGCCACTTTAGGTATGGCCTCTCTGGGGAAGCCTTTGTAAGCACCTATCAACTTCATCTTGTCTATATTTCTTCTGCATTTTACTTGATCATTTAATTTGTCATGCTGTTATATAATTGTCTGTTATTATCTATCTCAAATGTCCCAGCATAATATCTAGCAACTAGAATTTTTAAAAGGCTGACTGATGGGAAAAAAAAAAAAAAGTATAATGTGGCTATTTGAAAAAAAATTATTTATATTTATAGAGTTGACTCCAACTATGTAAATATCAAAAAATGTAATGAACAATTATGAGTTTTAATGCCTATTTTTGTTATTCAACTTGACTTCCAATGGCAAAAAGTTATTTCTTCTAATTTGTAGATGATGCATTAGTATAAGAAGTCCCAGAATAATATAAAGTAACTACGTTATTTTAAATGAATTTAATATTATTTTTCTTATTACAAATATAGTTTTGTTTTTTCATAGAAGAGTATGCTGATCAGAAAAGGAATAAACTGAGTAAACTGGTGAGATATCTTGACAAAGGTCTGTCATTGGTTACCATGAAGAACATCTAAGCTATACTACTGGTCATCAGCCAAACAACTGATCTGTATTACATCACTAAGAAACATAGTTTATTATATTTTTCCCTCTTCGATGTTACTGTCAGATTAGAATTTAAGCCTAACATCTTAGTTTATTGTACCTGCTTTTTAATTTATGAATATGGCTAAATGTTACCAAATTATATCTTCTGCAGCTTGGACCACCTTCTGAAGTGAGTAATGAGCTCCTCTGTTAATCTAGAAATACTTGCTTATTTTTAACTTATTTCTCTGAATATAAGGAATGTCCCTCTCTCACTCTAAAAATTGAAAAATAAGCCCATGTTTACTTTATCCATACAATTCACCATGCCTACATAATAATTATTTTAAGGTTACTTCTTTCCAGATCTGCACAGGACTTAAATGTTTTAGATGAGATGAACTACATTCAAATCTACCCAGCATTAAGTAATCAAGCAAATGATACTATTTGTGTAGTGAAAACTTAAAAGACCAACAGAAGTTTAAAATATATGTGAACCAGCAGAATTTTAAATTCTACTTCTAAAAATCAAATAGTAATTAACTTTATAAAAGACATAATTATAGAAAGACAAGACAATAAGATAATGCTTTATCAATCCTTTCCCCCGATAATTCTGACAAAATTTAAGAATACTATAATACAAAATGTCAAAATAAACCATTTTAAATCCTGATGATCACTTTTCCTGAAACTCATGAAAAATTCTGAAATAAAAATTAAAAGATCAAGCTGTCTCTAGAAACATAAAAAAGCATAATGTAAGAGGAAATTTCATCAGATGTTCTCATAATAAAACTTTATAGTCTTAAAATAAAAATTTTAAAAACTCCTTAAACATATAAAACATGTCTTTCAAAGATCTGATGTCACAATATAAAGATTTTCACAAAACTGCATGACTAACCCATATTTTTTCTTAATAAATTTACAGTTATATTTACCTTCAGATCCCATGATGAAGTGATGGATATCAGGGCCTGTTGACATACGAGGTCCTTGACAGCTTTTTTCTATTATACCTCTAGGTGTTACCATTTTTATATGAACCACCTGTTTAATACAATACACGATGTAAATTCTAGACATCTGTTAGTGAATGTGTGTCTACGTACAGACATTCATATATATTTGTGTAAAACCTACTTTTAAAGTATTGGGTTAATAAATTGTGATGTTTTTAAGAATTCTAGTATCTTTTAGTAATTTTTAGACTAAAGTTAAATTTGTATATAACCTTAAAAGAGGGAAAAACCATTCTAAGATTGTACATCGCTTGATTTAAATTGGTTTAGGGATATTCATGATCTTAAGAACAACAGAATAACACATTTATTTAAACCAAATTTAGGGTTATCCATATGGCACAGAACTAAAGGACTCAAATACTAAGCAATAATCATAATCTTGATGAAGCATATTATTCATGTCAGGCATGAATACTAGACAATTAGAATTCTAAGAAAAAAAAATTATTCTTGCTTTATCCCCACCTTCAATCCCACTTAGTAGAAAACAATGAAAATAATTAAATATTAACTAAGATCAGGTCAAAACTGGGATGAAGCAGCAGAAGCAATGACTGAGTTTTAAGAGAAGGAAAGAGATGTGTGACTCATCATACAAATGAGAAAGGAAGTACACTGGGGAAGGAGGATCACTCTAAAAATAGTTCCTGAGATCGGAATCAGAAGCGGTTAGGTAAAAATCCAACATATTTTTAGAATGAATTTTGGACAGATAAATAACAACAGTCTATTTATTATTGAAGGAAATGAGCAGAGAACATCAATAAGCAATTCACAAAATACAAAATAAAAATTGCCAATGAGGACCCTTTAAAAGTTTACATTCACTAGCAATTAACAAAATACAAAAACATAAATAAAACGTCCAGTAAAATACAAAGATTCTCATAGTGTTAGTGAGAATGTCAATTGGTACAAAATTTTTACAGGGCAATTTGGCTGTAAGGATCCAAAGTCTAAAATGGATAAACTTCTTCATCCAACAAATCAACTAAAGGAGCTTACCCAAAGAAAATGATTACAGATGTATACCAAATAAATTACTAAAAAGATTATTTTCCCTTTATTTTCTGTAATTTTGAAATCAAGAATAATTTAAATGTTCATTAAGAGGGAATTAAATAAACCATGCATTCTCAATAAAAGAATTATATAACTCTTTAAAAATGATGGTGCAAACCTGTTCATTTACATGTTAATATATTGATAACATAAAGAGCAGATTAAACACATATGGTCCTCTTTTTTATATTAAAAACTAGATATATTTATGTGCTTATTGTATGCCTAGAAACAGTTCTAGAAGTGATGGCACCAGCAGCTCATCTGGAGTGGCTGCTGCAAAGACTTCAGCTGCAGTGGGGGTGGCATGATCAGGGCTGTGCACTTCATAGAGTCAACAGGAGCCGGAAACAGGTTGAAGCCCCACCCCCTTCCTAGTTGGCAGAGCAAAAGCCTCGCACTCTTGAGTGCAGCTGCGGCAGCCCGGCTGTGGCTCTGGACCCAGGCATCCCTGTGCTCTTGGGGGCCAGGAGCACACAGGAATCCCACCCTCCTGGACATAGCTGCAGCCACCCAGCTGTGGCTGCAGACCCAGGCATCGCTAGACTCTTGGGGGCCTGGGAATCCCCAGGCCCCTGCAGGCTCAGAAGTGCCTGCTTCCACTACCTGGCTTCTCTCCATTCCTGGAGAAAAACTGAGGCCGAGCCTGGACGCTGGTGCAATCCAGCCGGGTGTGTGCATGCTCAGGGCAGTGCTGACATGCCAGCCCCCTGCTGCCTCAGCCGCCTCCGGACTTTGGGCACCAATGAGCACAGAAGGAAGGATAAGTGGGGGTTGCGGGCAGCTTGGCACTGGCCTGCAGGAGGCCCTCAGCATGAACAGCCTGAGCATCTGGGAACCACAAACAGCTGTAGGAGGCAGACAGGCTCCTGGGCGGAAATGTGCGGTCCCTGGTGAAACCCCATCTTCAAGCCAGGGAGGGCCTGATGCCTGGGGGGCTGTGCTGCCAGTTCCATGGACCAGAGTGGGAACTTATGATGCTTATTCCAGGACTGCCCATAACCATCCATGGGCCAATCAGCACACACTTCCTCCTCTCTGAACCCCATAAAAACCCAGGACTCAGCCAGAATTGGGCAGATATCAGATGACCTGTCTGCAGAAAGGAGCTACCCACTGTGCATCTCCTCTCTGCTGAGAGCTGACACTCATCAGGACGCCCTGCTGACAGAGAGGAGCTACCCACTATGTGTCTCCTCTCTCCTGAGGGCTAAGCACTCATCAGGATGCCCTGCCTGTGGAAAGGAACTACCCACTGTGGGCTCTCTGCTGAGAGCTGGATGCTTGTCAAGATGGCCTACCTGTGAAAGGAGCTACCCAATACGGGTCTCCTCTGAGCTGTTTTGTCACTCGATAAAGCACCCCTTCACCTTGCTCACCCCCATTTGTCTACATACCTCATTCTTCCTGGATGTGGGACAAAAATGCACGACTCGCCAAATGGCGGAGCTGAAAGAGCTGTAACAGAAACAGGGCTGAAACACACCCCTTGTTTGCCCCATGGAGGGCAATGAGAGGGAAAGACAGGAGAGAGAAGGAGAGAAGAGCTGTGGCCCAGACCTAGGAGCTCCCTGAGCCAGGGCTATGACACACTCTTTGGGGCTCTGCAGTCCCTGGCGTCTCCAAGCTTCCAGGCACCACCACATTCCCTGGTGCCAGCAACGGAAGCTGCCTGCAGTATGCCTGGTCCAGCCGCAGCCTTGCAGGGAGCCAATGCCTGGAGCCGCCCGTCCTGCCACAACTGGCGTCCCTGGCTATGCGCTGTGGCCAGACTCCACATTCACTCATTCACACACTCCTCACTGCTCTGTGCCTGGCTCGTCGTTGGCAAGCATGGGATCCAGACCAGTAGCATAAGCCAAGCACAGCCTGCCAGGCCGAGTGGGCTGAACAAGCCTAGTGGGCCCAAGCAAAACTTGGGCAAAGGTGCTGCCAGCCAGAGGTTTCTGGCTAAAAAACTGACATCCCAAGAATCCCATGACAGAAGGATGAATACGAAGATGTTAAAAGTGTTCAAAATGATATGTATTTAATATACACATGACACTTAAAAAAAAAACAATAGGGTCTTGCTTTGTCACCCAGGCTGGAGTGCAGTGGTGGGATGATAGCTCACTGTAACTTCAAACTCCTGGGCTCAAGCAATTCTCCCACTCCAGCCTCCTGAGTAGCTAGAGCTACAGCATGTGCTACCATGCCCAGCTAATTTTTTAATTTTTTGTAGAGATGACGTCTTGCTATGTTGCCCAGCCTGGTCTCCAACTCCTGGCCTCAAGCCTTGTCCTCTCAAAGTGCTGGGATTACAGGTGTGAACTACCATGCCCAGCTATAGCATACGTTTTTTACACTTCTGTAATTAATATTTTTAAATAAAAAACAAGTTTCTAATTGCTTGAATTGTCTATTCACAATTATAATTTTAAAAGAAGCATTTTCTTCAAAAATTCTTCAAAATGAAACGCTCACGGCATCATACTTTACTTTCTTTTGTGAAGATCCAGAATTTTTAGTTTGGTTTTGTCACTACAGAGGTCAATGTTTTTCCTTCTAATAGTGCTTCATAACTGAAGAATGTAGCAAGGCTCCTTTCACAGAAGCAATGGATTACCACTAATAGCGATGAGCTTCAGCTCTGTAACACTAGCATAAGAAAGTGTAATCAGATATGCTCAGGAAATTGGTTAGTGAAGAGACATTCACTAAATTAAGTATTTGAGATGGACTATTGTTGGAATTCCTTAAAATGACCTTGAAAACAAGTGGGAACCAGAATTTAAGATGAAAAGTTTATCCCACTGTACACAGACTTCTGATTCTTCAGATGTTAAAACTTTTAAATTTTTAAAAAATTTGGACTAAACAACTATCTTCAACTTTTTTCAAACAGTTAACTAAGCTATGAGCATCATTATTTACTGTGCTTTAATTAAATATTCACTGTTAAGAAGTATATTAACATGTTCCTTAATTTTTTTCATGGGTTCCATTGTAACCACACGTATTAAAAGACTATCAACTTTAGTAAAATTTTCACAAAAGCAAATAATATAAATTAAGACAGCTTCAGAGGATACTATATATTGCAGAGTTTAAAAATTTAAGTTAAAAATAAAATGTGCTGGCCAGGTGCGGTGGCTCATGCCTGTAATTCCAGTACTTTGGGAGGCTGAGGTGGGAGGATTACCTCAGGTCTGGAGTTCGAGACCAGCCTGGCCAACATGGAGAAACCCTGTCTCTACTAAAAATACAAAATGAGCTGGGCATGGTGGCGCATGCCTGTAATCCCAGCTACTCTGGAGGCTGAGGCAGGAGAATCGCTTGAACTCGGGAGGCAAAGGTTGTGGTGAGCTGAGATTGCGCCATTGCACTCTAGCCTGGGCAACAAGAGCGAAATTCCGTCTCAAAAACAAACAAACAAACAAAAATAAAATAAAATAAAATGTGCTAAGTAATTATTAATGCAAACAATTACACTAGGATGTACACTTTTACTTTGTATCCCTTAAATATCTCCAAAAAATGATTAAATTACATGTTTTCGCAGTGCTAAAGGTAGCTGTTTACCAAATATTTGCTTAACATTGATAAAGTCCTTAATAATCCAATAGCAAAAGGATCAAATTTTCTCCCCAAAACTGAATTTAGATTATTTTAACTGCAAAAAGAAAAATGTGCTTTTCTAAATGTCCTGAATAAAGAAAAATAAATAGGATAATGGAAATATTTAAAAAGTATTATTCACAATATAGACAAAAGTTTTAAATTCCTTGGTGTTAACTATAAAGAACCAACATATTTTATTAAAGATTTAATATTCCTATCAACAAAGATATTGATGAAAATGTGGAAACTTTAGATTTCAAAAGCAAAGCTAAACAGCTCCAGGAATAATGTTGGGAACATCATTTAATAGTCTCAAATTAAAGTTCTTTTAAACTACTATGAAAATATTGACGATAAGGAAACAACATTTATGAAGCACCTACTACACACCAGAGATTCTGAGTTTTCATTTTATGTCCTTTACTCCTCACAATAATTCTATGCAGCAAATATCATTATTCTATTTTACAGAAGAGGAAACTGAAGTTTAGAAAGGTAAACCAATTTGTACAAATTCACACAACTAATCACCGAAAAAGCTACAAATGGAACAAATGATACCTAATCCCTAACTAGGGTGCCCAGAATTTTATACTATTATTATACTAACTCCCAGCAAAGTGGCACCATATCAGCTACAAAAAGTAGTGTGAACATAAAACATGACAGGTCATACCACTACTTGGTAGAACAATTTCAATCAGCCTTAATTCTATACAGGAAAAATTATTTTCAGAAAAATACAAAATCTCCTAAGGAAACAGAGTAGCAACAATGAAATCATCTAAGTAAATGGACTAAAATCATGGTAGAGTTGAAGACTTCATTTCCACAAGCCTTGTAAAATAATATTTGTATACAGACATCCCTCAGTATCGCCAAAGAACTGGTTCTAGGACCTTCAAGGATACCGAAATCCATAGTACTCAAGTCCCTTACATAAAACAGCACAGTATTTGCATAACACCTATGCACATCCTCTCACATGCTTTAAATCATTTTAGAGTATTTATGAATATCTAATACAACGTAAATACTATGTAAATTGTTGTTCTACTGTACTTTTTGTATTATTTTCCTTGTGGTATTGTTATTTTTTTTTTCCAAATATTTTTGAGCTGCATTTGGTTGAATCTGTGGATACGAAACCAGTGGATATAGAGAGCTGACTGTATTTCATGAGCTGGATACTGTGAAACATCTACAAAGCTTAAAACGTAGTCGCCTGAAAAGGGGCATCCTTAAATAATGACCACAGTTGTGTTTTGGTTAACTTTCTACTATACATGTTCAATGTTATTATAGTCAAAAGGAGTATACTTATGGGAGGGGGGATCTACTGTCCAACTCTTTTTTTTTTTTTTTTTTTTTAGATGCAGTCTCACTCTGTCGCCCAGGCTGGAGTGCAGGGGCACAATTTCAGTTCACTGCAAGCTCCGCCTCCCAGGTTCACACCATTCTCCTGCCTCAGCCTCGCAAGTAGCTGGGACTACAGGCGCCCGCCACCACGTCCGGCTAATTTTTTTTTGTATTTTTAGTAGAGACAGGGTTTCACCGTGTTAGCCAGCACAGTCTTAATCTCCTGACCTCATGATCCGCCTGCCTCGGCCTCCCAAAGTGCTGGGATTACAGGCATGAGCCACCGTGCCTGGCCCCAACTGTTAATTTTTAAAGGCTTCTAATCATTTTGTAATATCTATATACTAATCAATTATTACATAATAACTAGAAAAATATTTACCAGGTCCTCGATATTGCCATAGATATTCTTCTTCATGCCTGATGCCCGAGTAGATACCCATCCTCCTACAGTACTGAACTCCAGGGAATCTGGTTCATGACCTGTACAATAACCACTTTCTTTAAGCTGAAAAACAAAAATGTAACATTTTACAGTGAAAATGGTCCCATTACACACAGCATTCAACACATTAACTCCTCTCACTTTAAAATTTCCATGTCATTGATATTTGAATTTATTAATTCCTACATAGCAAAAAAAAAAAAAGATACTTTCATCACACTAGTCCTAAAAATTTTTTTTAAGCTTTTGCCTACTGGAAAATGTTACAAAATTGAAAAATGTAGTCTAAAAGAAGTTTTAGTTTTCACAGGTTCACCAGATAATCATACTCCTTACATCCTTTTGTTTTAAGGCCAGCTGTTCTTCCCCACTTTTCTACAAAGAGGTAATTTAAATATATGGAGATTGGATTATGTTTAATTAACTGCCAACTTTACCTAAACACTTTCAATAAATAAAGCACTTAATCTCTTGTTCTCTCTACCCTAATGTAATATGCAGCAGGCCTGCAGAAAATCTGAGCAAATTGCCTATATTTAATTCTCTCAAGGAGTCATGTGTTTTAATGTACAGGCATCTGGCTAGGTTTCCTGCATGTAATACTGTCATTTACTTGTGATGCAGATCATGCATTACTGTACATTAAATAGTCACTTGTTTCTCATTTTTCTACATTATCTTGGCTTTGCCATCTGCACAGCACCTGAGATTGAATAGATGCCCTTTATTGCAACACCACCAAAGCCATTCCAGTGAAATCATTTTAAAGACTCAGCCATCTCTTCTCAAACGGTACAGACACCACCATCTGCATACCCGCTGTCTGCTGCACTCAAGCCCATCAATCTGTGTTGACCATTTTGATAGTCATCCAGTTAAGCAACTGTTCTATTTTTCAAGTAAGCCACGCAGAGATGTAGAATATATCAGCCACATCTGTATATTTGTATTTAAGTATGGTGTAAAAGTTGTAATCCGAAATATGAAAGCCTATCAGGTTAAATATAATTTGTTAGGTTTTGCATATCAGCAATACAAATTCTCTATCTATTCTAATTTTGCTGCTAGGAAAACAAGATTTTAAAAGACATCAACTGTTATATAATAAGTTTCTCCACTAAATATTCAGTATGTTATTTAGATTTAAGAGGTTAATATCCATCTATAAAAAAGAAGCTTAAATGGCTGAAGAGCCATTTATTTATGATAAATGAAGATTATCAGACTGTTACATAATATTTCTTCCCTAACTCCATCTCCAAACAAAATACTACAAATTATTTTCTCTTAAAACACTACTGTTCCTCAATTTTCTTTTAAAACATAACCTTTTACTCAATTTTATGAAATTGGGAAAAGAAGAAAAGATATTCATGGAGCCCTAAGATGTACCAGGTACAGCAAAGACAGGTTTCACATACTCTCATGACAAAACAAACTTCGACATTATACAGAAGCAAATCATTTAGTACACACTTTAACTATTTCTTTTTTTTTTTTGTAGGTGTGTTAATTCATTTAATCTGCTCAACAACCCTATGAAGCTGACACTATTATTATTCCTATTTTCACAGATGGGAAACAGTTAAATCACTTGTTTTAACTGATGGTTCCCCAAGTGGTACCTCTTACTTGCATTGTTTTTATTATTATACTTTAAGTTCTGGGTTACACGTGCAGAACGTGCAGTTTTGTTACATAGGTATACATGTGACATGGTGGTTTGCTGCACCCATCAACCCATCATCTACATTAAGTATTTCTCCTAATGTTATCTCTCCCCTAGCCTCCCACCCCATTGCAGGCCCTAGTGTGTGATGTTCCCCTCCCTGTATCCATGTGTTCTCATTGTTCAACTCACACTTATGAGTGAGAACATGTGGTGTTTGGTTTTCTGATCTTGTGACAGTTTGCTGAGAATGATGGTTTCCAGCTTTATCCCTGTCCCTGCAAACGACATGAACTCATCCATTTTTATGGCTGCATAGTATTCCATGGTGTATATATGCCACATTTTCTTAATCCATTCTATCATTGATGGACATTTGGGTTGGTTCCAAGTCTTCCCTATTGTGAATAGTGATACAATAAACATACATGTGCATGTGTCTTTATCGTAGGCTGATTTATAATCCTTCGGGTATATGCCCAATAATGGGATTGCTGGGTCAAATGGTATTTCTAGTTCTAGATCCTTGAGGAATTGCCACACTGTCTTCCACAATGGTTGAACTAATTTACACTCCCACCAACAGCATAAAAGCATTCCTATTTTTCCACAACCTCTCCAGCATCTGTTGTTTCCTGACTTTTTATTGATCACCATTCTAATTGGCGTGAGATGGTATCTCATTGTGGTTTTGATTTGCATTTTGCTAATGACCAGTGATGATGAGCATTTTTTTTTATGTCTGTTGGCTACATAAATGTCTTCTTTTGAAAAGTGTCTGTTCATATCAGTTGCATATTTTTCGACAGGGTTGTTTTTTTCTTGTAAATTTGTTTATGTTCTTTGTAGATTCTGGATATTAGCCCTTTGTCAGATGGATAGATTGCAAAAATTTTCCCCCATTCTGTAGGTTGTCTGTTCACTCTGATGATAGTTTCTTTTGCTGTGCAGCAGCTCTTTAGTTTAATTAGACCCCATTTATCACTTTTGGCTTTTGTTGCCATTGCTTTTGGTGTTTTAGACATGAAGCCTTTGCCCATGCCTATGTCCTGAATGGTATTGCCCAGGTTTTCTTCTAGGATTTTTATGGTCCTAGGTCTTACGTTTAAGTCTTTGATCCATCTTGAGTTGATTTTTGTATAAGGTGTAAGGAAGAGGTCCAGTTTCAGTTTTCTGCATATGGCTAGCCAGTTTTCCCAACATCATTGCTTAAATAGGGAATCTTTCCCCCATTGCTTGTGTGTATCCGGTTTGTCAAAGATCAGATGGTTGTAGATGCATAGTGTTATTTCTGAGGCCTGCGTTCTTTCCCATTGGTCTATATATCTGTTTTGGTACCAGTACCATGCTGTTTTGGTTACTGTAGCCTTGTAGTATAGTTTGAAGTCAGGTAGCGTGATGCCTCCAGCTTTATTCTTCTTGCCCAGGATTGTCTTGGCTACGTGGGCTCTTTTTTGGTTCCATATGAAGTATAAAGTAGTTTTTTCCAATTCTGTGAAGAAAGTCAGTGGTAGCTTGATAGGAATAGCATTGCATCTATAAATTACTTTGGGCAGTATGGCCATTTTCATGATATTGATTCTTCCCATCCATGAGCATGGAATGTTTTTGCATCTGTTTGTGTACTCTTTTATTTCCTTGAGCAGTGGTTTGTAGTTCTCCTTGAAGAGGTCCTTCACATCCCTTGTAAGTTGTATTTGTACGTATTTTATTCTCTTAGTAGCAACTGTGAATGTGAGTTCACTCATGATTTGGCTCTCTGTTTGTCTGTTATTGGTGTATAGGAATGCTTGTGACTTTTGCACATTGATTTTGTATCCTGAGACTCTGCTGAAGTTGTTTATCAGCTTAAGGAGATATTGGGCTGAGACGATGGAGTTTTCTAAATATACAATCATGTCATCTGCAAACAGAGACAATTTGACTTCCTCTCTTCCTATCTGAATACCCTTTATTTCTTTCTCTTGCCTGATTGCCCTGGCCAGAACTTCCAATACTATGTTGAATAGGAGTGGTGAGAGAGGGCATCCTTGTCTTGTGCCAGTTTTCAGAGGGAATGCTTCCAGTTTTTGCCCATTCACTATGATATTGGCTGTGGGTTTGTCATAAATAGCTCTTAATATTTTGAGATACGTTCCATTGATACCTAGTTTATTGAGAGTTTTTAGAATGAAGGGGTGCTGAATTTTATCGAAGGCCTTTTCTGCATCTATTGAGATTATCATGTGGTTTTTGTCATTGGTTCTGTTTCTGTGATGGATTATGTTGGTTGATTTGCATATGTTGAACCAGCCTTACATCCCAGGTATGAAGCCAACTTGCTTGCGGTGGATAAGGTTTTTGATGTGCTGCTGGATTTGTTTGGTTTGTCAGTATTTTATTGAGGATTTTCGTATCAATGTTCATCAGGGATGTTGGTCTGAAATTTTCTTTTTTTGTTGTGTCTCTGCCCGGAATAGTTTCAGAAGGAATGGTACCAGCTCCTCTTTGCATCTCTGGTATAATCGGCTGTGAATCCATCTAGTCCTGTACTTTTCTTGGTTGGTAGGCTATTAATTACTGCCTCAATTTCAGGACTTCTTATTGGTTTATTCAGGGATTTGACTTCTTCCTGGCTTAGACTTGGGAGGGTGTATGTGTCCAGGAATTTATCCATTTCTTCTAGATTTTCTAGTTGATTTGTGTAGAGGCGTTTATAGTATTCTCTGATGGTAGTTTGTATTTCTGTGGGATCAGTGGAGATATCCCCTACAGATTTTTTTATTGCATGTATTTGGTTCTTCTCTCTTTTCTTCTTTACTAGTCTGGCTAGTGGTCTATTTTGTTGATATTTTCAAAAAACAGTTCCTGGATTCATTGATTTTTTGAAGGGTTTTTTGTGTCTCTATCTCCTTCAGTTCTGCTCTGATCTTAGTTATTTCATGTCTTCTGCTAGCGTTTGAATTTGTTTGCTGTTGCTTCTCTAGTTCTTTTAATTTTGATGTTAGGGTGTCAATTTTAGATCTTTCCTGCTTTCTCTTGTGGGCATTTAGTGCCATAAATTTCCCTCTACACACTGCTTTAGATGTGTCCCAGAAATTCTGGTACATTGTGTCTTCGTTCTCACTGGTTTCAAAGAACAGCTTTATTTCTGCCTTCATTTAGTTATTTATCCAGTAGTCATTCAAGAGCAGGTTGTTCAGTTTCCATGTAGTTGTGCAGTTTTGAGTGAGTTTCTTAATCCTGAGTTCTAATTTGATTGCACTGTGGTCTGAGAGACTGTTATGATTTCTGTTCTTTTGCATTTGCTGAGGAGTGTTTTACTTCCAATTATGTGGTCAATTTTAGAATAAGTGCAATGAGGTACTGAGAAGAATATATATTCTGTTGATTTGGGGTGGAGAGCTCTGTAGAT